TGTAATTATTATATATGCCCTTCTTTATCCTTTGTTACTGTATTTACTTTAAAGTCCAGTTTGTCTGATATAAGTATAGCTACTCCAGCTTTCTTTTGATTTCCAGTAGCATGATAGATATTTCTCCATACCCTTGCTTTTTTTTTTTTAAATGTTTTCTTTATTTCTAGGAGAGAGAGAGACAGCGTGAGCAGGGGAGGGTCAGAGAGAGAGTGAGTCACAGACTGAAACAGGCTCCAGGCTTTGAGCCGGCAGTCAGCACGGAGCCCGACGCGGGGCTCGAACCCGCGAATCGCGAGATCATGACCCAAGCGAAAGTCGGACGCTTAACCGACCAAGCCACCCAGGCGCCCCTCCATCCCCTTGCTTTAAATCTCAAGGTGTCCTCCAGTGTAAAATGAGTTTCTTGTAGACAGCAAATAGATGGATTTTGTTTTGTTATCCATTCTGCTACCCTATGTCTTTTGATTGGGGCTTAGCCCATTGACATTCAGCGTTATTATTGAAAAAAATGGGTTGAGAGTCATCGTGTCCTTTGTGGGATTCATGCTTGTGGTGGTGTCTCTGCTCTCTTGCGTTCCTTGCAACATTTCCCTCAGAAAGTCTCCCTCAGGATTTCTTGGGGGGTTGGTTTAGTGGTGATGAATTATTTCATTTTTTGTTCATTTGGAAGGACTTATCTCTCCTTCTATTCTGAATGACAGGCTTGCTGGATAGAGGATTCTTGGCTACACATTTTTTCCATTCATCACATTGAAGATCTCCTGCCATTCCTTTCTGGTCTGCCACGTTTCAGTAGATAGGTCTGTCTCCACTCTGATAGGTTTCCCTTTGTATGTTAGGGCCCTTTTCTCTCTAGCTGCTTTTAAAATTCTCTCTTTGTCTTTATATTTTGCCATTTTCACTATGATATGTCGTGCAGAAGATCAATTCAAGTTACATCTGAGGGGAGTTCTCTGTGCCTCTTGGATTTCAATGTCTGTCTCCTTTCCCAGACTGGGGAAGTTCTCTGGTATAATTTGTTCAAGGACTCCTTCAGCACCTTTCCCTCTCTCTTCCTCTTCTGGAGTTCCTATGATACGGATATTATTCCATTTGACTGCATCGCTGAGCTCTCGAACTCTCCTTTCATGTTCCTGGGTCAGTTTATTTCTCTTTTTCTTAGCTTCTTCTTTTTCTATAATTGTGTCTTCTAAATCACTTATTCTCCTTTCTGCCTCTTCAATCCGTGCATTGGACACATCCATTTTATTACGTATCTCATTTATAGCATTTTTTAAATCATCGCAACTATTTTTGAGCTCAATAGACTTTGTAGCAATAGTTTCTCTGATGTCTTCCATTCTTTTTTCAAGCCCAGTGATTAATTTTATGACTATTGTTCTAAATTCTTGTTCAGTTAGGTTGTTTATATCTGTTTTGAGCAGTTCTTTAGCTGTCTATTCTTCCTGGAATTTCTTTGGAGGAGAACTCTTTCATTTCGTCATTTTGGTTAGCTTTCTATCCCTTGTTAGTTTTCAAAGCTTGTTGTGCACTCTGCACCTGTGAGTGCTGCTGTACGCAAGAAGGCTCTTTGACTGTCCAGGGCCTGTCTGTTCATAAAGTCTTCTTTGAATGGTGTCTCTTGGTCTCTCTTCTTGAGACCTTGGTTATTTTATTTTCCTTCTCATAGTGATATTTTGGACTCTCTACCATGTGTACTTTGCCGGTTTCTTGACGAAGCCCTGGGAAAAAAAAAAACAGACAGAGAAACACACAGGGAACAAATGCAAACAATCACACAAACAAATCCAACAAGCATGCAAACCGAAAGGGAAAAGGAAAAAGAGAAAAAGGAAGGGACATATACAAAAAAAAAAAAAAAAAAGAGGATGGAGGAAAGACGAATAATAAAAATTAAAATACATGAAAAAGTAAAAAGAAGAAAAGAAAAGTAAAAAGAAAAAACCCTATAGACAAAGGACAGTCTAAATCATGGAACCAGAATCCCAGTTACAAATAAATAGCCGGATGTATGCAGTGCTGGTGGAAGAGCATATACAAAGAGCGAAAGGACAGGGTGGGGAGGAAGCAAATTTGGAAATGAAATGAGCAGGCAGAAGGAATAAGAGGCTTATTTCAGAGAGAGAGAGGAGAATATGGTTGGAGAGGGGGCAAAAGAAATGACGATAATGCTACTCAGAAAAACTATATAGTCTGATTACTCCAGAGAGAAAGAGTTAAAAAGGTAGTGGTGGAGGTGTAGAATTTACATCTAGAGAATGGATTAAATGTGACTAAGCGAGCCAGTGACCAGAAGTAATCAGGGCAGCGCATCCATGTTGCTCTTGCCCCCGTTCTGGTAAAAAAAAATAAATAAATAAAAATAAAAAGAGGGCAGCTCTCTAGCAGGGATGGGCGTGGTTTGGTCCGTGTGTCCCGTGGGAGTCCTGCCTTGGCGGTTGTGGGGAGAAGAGTGGCGGCGCCCCAGCCCCTTCTCGAACCAAGCGTTGCAATTCTCTCTTTTGGGTGTGATATCCGTGTGCCAGGGGCGTAGCCAAGGTGGGCCGTTCTCTATATCCCCAGCCAGGCCTCTTTTCTAGATCTCAGTTCATGTGCCCCATTGATATTGCCTGAAGTATAAACTGGCAGGCGAGCCCCTCAGAGCAGTTTCAAGCTTCTCGCCTTCCCCCTGGGGATCCAGCTGAGCCAGAAGCACAAAGGTGCAGCTTCAGGGGCCGCCGCGTTCCTTCCAGGTTGAGCTGGTGAGCGAGAAGCAGTTTCCCCCAGGGTCATCTGGGATGAATGTGTCCCACCTAGGGTCAGCTGGACAGCAGGAAAATGGATCCCCCTGTGTCCTGAGCAGAGATTTTTCTCTTCTCCAGTGATAGGGACAGTGTCTTGAGCAGTTTCAGCCACTCTCTTTCCCCTCTAGTCTCAGTGCAGTCCCCCCTCAAAGGAGGATCCCCCTTCCCTCTATGTCTCCGGTCCCGGCCCGATTTTATCTTCCCCAGTTTGCACTCACCCTATAAGTTTATCCCAGTGGACTCTGTGTCTTGTTCCTCCAAAATTCTTGGATTCTGTAAGGTTCCTATGGCTTCAGGCCTTCTCCATATGAGAGATGGGGTGAGGGAAATGTAGGGAGCAACCTACTTCTCCGCCATCTTGCCTCCCTCTCCAATTCTTTTAAATTTATTGAGGGATGCTTTATGATCCATATGTGATCTCTCTTGGAGAATGTGCCATGTACACTTGAGAAGAAAGTGAATTCCATGGCCTCAGGATGTCGGATTCTAAATCTGTCAAATCCATCTGGTCCAATGTGTTGTTCATGTCCATTGTTCCTTTGGTGCTCATCTGTCTAGCTGATCTATCCATTGCTGTAAGTGGACTATTAAACTCTCCTGCTATTAGCACATTCTTCTCAATAAGATTGTTTCCCATGGATCGAGTAGAAGCCACTAGTCTTTCGTGGACACAGTGAACCCAAGACCTTCAGAGCATGCTGGTGCTTCTCGGGAGTGGACGGCTTCCAGCCTACACTCTGAGTAAGACCTCAGTCCACTTCTATTATCATGCTGTTATTTGTGCTTGTTTACATGAATCATTAGTTTCACTTTCCAAGGATTAAGAACATTTTCTACTTGGAATAGACATTTCTCTCTTTTCTTCTCCCAGTTTTCATCCATGTTTAGTGGATTCGTCTACACATTGTGAGCGTGGATTGTTCCTTCCAGCTCCTGACCCTCCTGATTCCCTCGTCTCCTCCTGCCCCACACGTGGGAAATCCAACAGGAAACCATGGGTTCTCCATCTATTGATACAGGTGGGAGGCTTTCTCCACACAAGCCCCTCCTGGGCGCAGGACCTCCTCCCCAGTGACCCACAAATATGCCCTGAGCCAGTGTCCATTCCTGACTCTATCCAAGCATTTATGACCTGTTGACAGCCCTGCCCTTCTCTCAACAGACACGAATAGGAAGGTGATGAAGGTTTTATACCCTTGTGTGTGTGTGTGTGTGTGTGTGTGTGTGTGTGTGTGTGTGTGTGATCTTCAGATTTCATATCAACACCACCACCTGGTGAGAGTCCCAGTGCATCTGTGCTTTCAGTTACAATCGATGTTGTGAGAATGGTTCAGACAATGACTCCACCAGGAGTCTGTCATCTGTTGCTTCAATTTTTCATGTCTCAGTAACCTCACGTCCAGCATGCACTTTATGCTGCTTCTAGCAAGAGTGCACGTTGAGCTGGCTGGTCCTGCGATGCAGTGTGTGCATCTGAAATCCTGTAAAGCTTTGTGTGATGTGCATCAGGATATCTGTAAATAATTTCTATTTAGGTACAGGAACAAGGAAGTGTAAGCATCTGTTTCTTTTGTGCCTGTTAGTATATTTGTCTTATTGTGGACAAGAATAGGTAAGCACAGAATCAGGGGTCCAGGGAGCCTCCCTGGGAGAAACTGCTGTCTGGAAAGGAAGCCCCAGACCCTGACAGGAAACCTGCCTGTAACGTCCAGGAGTAATTGAATAAGGCTGTAACTCATTTAAAGTCCTGAGTAGCAAAGTGCCATGAATGAAGTGTCATGTTTGATTGGGACGAGAGCTGGGTGAGGTAATGAGAGGCTCTGTGGATTTTATGATCCTGGCTGCACACTGAATGCATCTGGGACTCCTGTAAACGTTCAGCTGATGTGCATCAGGGTATCTGTGATTTATTCATATTTAGGGACAGGAGTAAACAAGTGCAAGCAACTGTGTCTTTGTGCATGTTAATGTAGTCTTCTTAGGACAACACAGTTTCTAATTTGGAGAGTGCATAGGTAAGCACAGAATCGCGTGTCCAGAGAGGCTCCCTGGGGGAAACTGCTGTGTGGAAAGGAAGCCCCAGACCCTGACAGGAAACCTGCCTGTAACCTCCTTCTGTCCCTGCTCCTGGGAATACAAACCAGAAATGTGCATAATGTGCGCCCCCTGGTGGTGCTGATCCCCTTCTCCGGGGAGGTTTGTGTCTGGGCTCACCCTGATGACTCCTCACTGTGTCTCTCGCACAGAAATATGTGGCCGTGTCTTCGACTCTCAGGTTGTTCATCTGTAGATCCACTGTGTTCTTGGCGTTGTCTATGGAGATGGTGAACCGGCCCTTCACGGAGTCTGCATAGTAAGTGCTACTTCCATCTTTGCTAATAACTGCAACCCACTCCAGCCCCTTCCCTGGAGCCTGGCGGACCCAGCTCATGCCGTAGCTACTGAAGGTGAATCCGGAGGCTGCACAGGAGAGTCTCAGGGACCCTCCAGGCTTCACCAGGCCTCCCCCAGACTCCACCAGCTGCTCCTCACACTGGACACCTGCAGACACAAGACATCCTTGTCAGGAAACTGTCACACATCTAGTGTTTCTCTCACTCACATCCATTCACACACTCAATGTCTCTTGTTCACCACGAATTACCTTTTAAAACAGCAACAAGGAAAACCCAGCCAAGCACAAAGTCCATGGTGAGATGTCTGTGTTCTGTCCTGATCACAGAATGGGAACACCTGGGACTCCCGGGGCTGGGGCTCCTCTCCCAGCTGCAGGGTCAGGGCTGGGCCGGTTTAATCAGCACAGGCAGCGCCCTATTTGCATGTCCTCTGACTATATATGAAGCTCCAGATTTAGATTTGCTTCTTTGAAAGTTAAAAACAATGTTTGGGAGGTACTTTTAGATCACTTTGTGTAGAAGGTGCTGTGACATATGAAGAATTCTATCTGTGAACACATTTATCTTTGCAGCTGTGTTCGCCTTTGTACATATCTTTCTCCAAGCAGGTCATGTTTAGTACGCTAATATTTTACTTTTGAGAGAAATTTAATCCTAAAGACTTTACTTTGTGCCATTTAATTTTAATGTGTGTTTATTTTTGCATGACAGAGGGAGAGGGAGAGAGAGACCAGAGAGAGGGAGGGGGACAGAGAATCCCAAACAGGTTCTGCACTGATGCGATTAAACAATTGGGATGAAATTCAGGAACCATGAAATCATGACCTGAGCCAAAATGAACAGCATGCACTTAACCAATAAAGCCACCCTGGTCCTCCATTTTTTGCCATTTTAACTTGTTGATGTAAATTGATATTGTTATTTTTTTCATATATTTTCTTTTGAGTGTGTGGAAATATAACATATATTCGTATGTTAATTTAGTATTCTGAAATTTTTCTGAGTATGTTAATTGGTTCTAATATTTTTTTGTGGAGTGTCTAACGTTTTACTATATATACGATCATGTGATCCTCAAACAAATAATTTTCTTCTCTCTTACTGATTTACATGTCTTTATTTCGTTTTCTTACCTAATTTTCATGGGTACATCTTCAAGTTGTGGAGCAGAAAGCTTTTTCCTTTTCTGCTCCTGTGTTCTCTGTCTGGTCTAATAATTCAATTGACATAAGACATATCTACAGAAGAAAATAAACTTCATTTTGCATGTGCATGAGCTTCCTAATAACATGACACCCAGAGAATGAACAAAGTAGGTGACAATTGTGTCTTTTAGAAAACAAAACAATGGATTTGTGAAGAGTTGACACAACATAGATTTGGGTTCAGTCTACTCAATTGCTGAGGAAGTAGCAAGGCTTGTTTGCACAGCCTTCTCACTGCTAAGCTCCCATTTCTGGCGCTAAGGATGGTTCTTCAGGGAAGGGAACTTTCCCAGGGGAGATTTATTTCGTGCTCTCAGGGGGACAAGGATGGTCACAGTGTCTTTGGACTGACTGTTACTCAAGTGACTTTCATCTAAATAATCAATGTGAGAAGATGATATACCTTGGATGGCATATTTTAGTCTCCTTCGTGTTACTATGTGGAATACCTATGCGGTGTATGAGTATCCTTGCCTGGCTCCTGATGTGACAGGAAAGGCTTCAGTTTTTCACTGTTGAATATGCTGTCGGGTGTGGGCTTTCCATATGTGGCCACTATGTTCTCGAGGTAATTTCTTTCTTTTCCTCAGTTTAGATTTTTTAACAATGACTTTTTTTTAAATTTTGCCTAAGTTTTTATATATCAATAGATGGTGATGTAGAATCAATCCCTGTCTCTGTTAATGCAGGGTCTCACACATACAGATTTGTGTAAGGTGAAGGATCCTCGAATCCCAGGCATGAATCACCCTGGATTCATATGATCCTTCCCACGTGCTGGTGCATTCACTATGCTGGGAGTTTTGCATGTACGTCCATCTGAGATATTGGCCTTTAGTTTTCTTCGCGTGGTGTCTTTAGATTTCACCTCACAGTACGGATGACCTTGGTATTGTTGGGGCACCTTCCTTTTGAGTTTTTGGTAAGAGTCTGAGAAGCATTTCGCATTAAATCTTTAAATTCTGACACAACTCATAGATAAAGCCCTCTGGTACTAAGCTGACTTTTATTTTTCAGGGGAGGAAGATTAGATTATGGATTCAATCTTCGTATCGTTTTTATTCTGCTAGTTTTCTATTTCTTCATGAACAGTCTTGAGAGATTGTGTAACTCTAGAAATTTCATAATTGCCCTTGGTTATCTAATTGTAGGTGAATAATTACCTAAGTATTTTCTCTTGTTGTTTTCACCTCTTTGGTATCAGTATGTCCTCTCCTTAATTCTGATTGTATATTTTTTTTAGTTTTACCTTCATAGTACAGATGCTTTTTAAATCTCACTTACTTTCCAGATACCAATTTCAATCTTGTCAGTTTTTGTATTCTTATACTCTTTATTCCATTTATCTCTTCTAATAATTTCTCATGTGAATTGAATTAATAAAATACCAATGAACTTTTCCTGCGAAATCCTTATGGTACCACAAAGCACATGGAAGTGAGAAAATAATCATGGAAAAGAAGAACAAACTTAGAGACATCACACTTCCTTCTTTCTAAGTATATTGCAGAGGTCCATTAACTACAACTGTGTGCTGCTGGCATAAACTCAGACACATAGACCAACGGAGCAGATTATGGAGCCCAGAAAGGAATGTGTCCAGATGCAGTCAGTAAATCTTCCTGGAGATTTCATAGAATAAACAGTAGAGAAAGAATGGCTTCTTTCAGAAATGGTGTTGAATATCAGTGAGTACAGAAACTTTTGACCCTTACCTTATACCGTACACATATGTAGACTCCTATTCAGCCCCTTCCCTGGAGTCTGGTAACCCATCTTATCCATTAGCCATTGAAGGCGAACCCAGAGGCTGCACAGGAGAGTCTCAGGGACGCCCTCCCCGCCAGGATTCATCAGGTCTCCCACAGACTCCCCCAGCTACACCCCACACAGGACACCTGCAGACACAGGTCAGGAAACTGTCACACATCCACTGTTTCTCTCTCTCATATCCACTTATATACTCCATGTCTCTTTTTCTTGTTCAACATGAATTACTGTTAAAAATAGAAACAAGGAAAACCAAAGTGACCCCAAACTCCATGGTGAGATGTCTGTGTTCTGTCCTGATCTCTGAATGTGAACACTTGGGAATCCTGGGATTGGGGCTCCTGTCCCCGCTGCAGTTTCAAGGATGGTGGTTTAATCAGCAGACTGATGTCCTCTCACTGTATAGTACATTTTGCAAGGAGAGTCCTTAAGAAATCTGTGACCCGAGCAGGTCTAAGGGAGAGGGCATTGTTTGGTGCCACAATATCTTTCAGGACATTCTGATTTATTATTTTGTGATTTTGCTGCAGTGATTATTTAATACCCATGATAATCCTTATTTTCACATGTGCACTGAAAACATGTGAGATAGGAATCAATTTACCACTACTGTACAGGTAGACAGACACACTGTAGCAGAGAGGTAGTGTGTGAGTGTCTAAGAGAGCATGTGAAGTGAGAGTAGCCCCCAGGATCTGGACCTATGCTCCTGACCATGGGACTCACCTGCCCCCTGAACCACGTGCCGGACAAGGCTGGACATCCCAGTGAGGTTTGCAGGTTCCTGACCTTCTAGAGGTCCCAGCAGAGTGACGTGTGGAAGCCAGGTCTATGCTGTCAAACGGATTGGAGATAGTGAGAAGCCTTGACAGAGACTTACAGAGCTGATGCAGGTGCCAGGGTTTCCTACAACCACAAGAGCTCATTTACACATGAACTGTATGTGCACCTCAATGGAAAGCCTCAATAAGGGGCGCCTGGGTGCTCAGTTGGTTAAGTGTCCGACTTTGGCTCAAGTCATGATCTCACAGTTGATGAGTTCTAGCCTCGCGTCAGGCTCTGCTCTGACAGCTTGGAGCCTGGAGTTGCTTCAGATTATGTGTCTCCATCTCTCTCTCTGCCCCTTCCCTGCTCACACTCTGTCTGTCTGTCTCTCTCTCTTAAAAATCAATAAATATATATAAACCAACTTGACAATGAACTATTTAAGGAAAAAAATCAACAAACAAAAACAGAAAGCCTCAATACAGTTAAAATGGTTGATTTAAAATATGTTGAAGGCAAAACACCCGATATCAGTAAGGATGATGTTAATTAAAAATATTTCTTCATCTAGGAGATGGATTTCATTGTTCTTCTTAACTCCCGTTTAATGACAATGGTCAAAGATAGGTTTATCCCAGTGCCTGACCCTGGACAAGTTTGGGTATTCCCATTATGACGGTTCATTCAAACAGGGAGGACACTTATGTGTTTCCACCACTTTTACAAACTCTTTCCTGTGTTCATGTCAGAAGTGTGCAGAGCCTGGATCTGAAATTCCTTGAGAGGAGACCAGCCCTCAACCACCCTGTTTTCCTGGATCATGAGCTCCCTAGTTACTGAGTTCCCGCTGGTGGTTGTGATCGCCCCCTGGTGGTCCGCATGCTCCCCTTGTTTCATAACCTCCTGCAGAAATATAGGGATGCCTTTCTCCCTCCTAACTGATCCAGCACCAGATATGTAGGATGGAATACGCTGAGAATTGGGGAATGAAACCCCTCATCACCGGGCAGACACTTTCTTGCATGAAGTCCATGTCTCCCTCTGAAGCTGAATGTCTAATTGAATCCAGGCGGATATGCATGGATGTCCCCAAAATGATATGAGGTGGAGAGAAACAGTAAGGAAAGAAACATAAAGAAAGACAGGTAATAGTAAGGAAAGACACGTAAAGAGTTATTGCCATTGAGAGAATACTGCTGGGGAGGGTGTGCATGCTGTTCTCTGCAGCCTTGATTGGATGACGTGGGACACCAGCCAGTGGAGGTTGGAGGCAGCCCTATAAACTGGCCCCTGGGATGTAAGACCAGAACCGTGGCCACCCTCAAACTGACCGTATCGTAGACAGGTGACACGCCTCAAGAGGTCCCTCACCTGAGGGTAAAGAGAAGTTCCTGCCACCTCTGTGGCTCCTCAACCCTCTGAAGTCACTCCCTCCAGATGTTATGCCTTCACAGTTTCTATTGTATGTGAAATGTACCCTATCTCAGTAAGGTGAGGGTCCGCTGCTGGTTCTGGGAGGATTCATCCTGTGTCCTTGTCTCTGGTATAAACTTCTGTGTCTTCTAAGAATGAAACCAAAGTTCCCCTTACCATGCAGCTAAAATCCGATATCGTGCCCGCA